ACCTTGTATTAAACGTAAGGTGCAAAAAGCTTGCAAACTATCTATAGAAGCTTAAGTATGTAATGAAATTTTCACCACTCATGAGATGTCCACTAATTATTAATATTAACGTCATTGCATGCCTCCTGTCTTTAATATTAGTCATGGTCTGCCAATCTGAACTATGATAGGCTGCACAATGCGATGAGAGCGTGACGTTATCAAAACATGGGAAGATTTTGTTATGCACTTTTGTAACAGCCTGGATGAGGGCATAATCTGGGAGAAGGCAAGTTTGATATCGTCAACTTTATCATTTACTACGTTGACTTGTGAAAAATGCAAACTACATACAGGCTGCTTCTATTCTATTCTTTGATGACTACGTATTTGCAAAATACTGGATTCCCATCTCCTCCTTATAGATCACCCTACTCTTCCAAATTCGCTGAGGCAAATGGACTCTCCAACACTTATTTGATTTTTTACCGGAGCTATGACAACTTTCATGATAGCCGAAGGCGTTAAAGCCAAAGCTACGCATCTATTTGATATTTGTTATATGGTTTTGAAGCTTCTAAGTACTTTAAAACTCTAGAAGTAGTAGTGATACCAACCTGGTTCGTACATTTATAGACAAACACAATATCCATGGTGCGAAATGTAACTTCCGAAGCCGGGATTTGAACTCGCAAGGCATCGAGTCAATGTGCTAGCAGCTCGACAATGTAATATATTTGGCTACCCGCAGGGGTATTACATATCTTGAAAAATGACATTATGCCGATTTTTTTGACATTACATTGGTTTTTCTTCAAGGCGTTAACTTAGCGCCAGCTGGACGCGTTGTGAACTCGTTATGTAGTGATACGTGTTGCCTAAGCGTCATGAGGCTTCAGTTATCAATTTTTGGCCCTGATGTGATGTAAAATCTGCTTCAGAGATGGCATTACTGGAGTTAACGGCAATACATAGGTGCATAGTGAGGATTTGCATGCTAATAATATGTAATGATGATAAGTCCATTGGTATCTTGTCTCAAATACACTTACTTGACATTCAACGCTAGAAATTCGTTGCACATCCACTTTTTCTTATCCATTCTGGGAATTAACATATGCAAATTTGCTGGAATTCAAAAATGAGAGAGAGATAAGAAATATTTATATTCACAATACACTGTCGGATTACAAGTAATATACATGCTAACAGTATTTACACACAACGACAACGCGGGCGCGGTGGTGTTTTCCCGTTATTCTCGTCAAAGCTTTTGAAAACAAAAAAACGTAAAAAATCGTATTTCACAAATTTGAACATAATCTGTCTTCATAAACGACAACGTATAAATAACCTTTCGGGCACAGCTAATATACATGCTTCATTGACAGCATATTCAGTAATGATATTTTAACACATCCAGTTGCGATCTTGCTATTCAACCTATGCTAAGGACTACTCGGCTTCACAAAACATATGCAACCAACAGTGCGTGTAGTTGAGCTATTGCTCCATAGATGGATGCTCGCAAAGATCCCAGTGAGCAAACGTGGAATGACTGATTGCACCATAAAAACTACCTAGTCTGCAAGATGACATTTTATATTTTTTTTGACGTTCTATAGGTTTTTTACATAATACCCGTGCCGGCCTCCATGCAAAAACCTAAAATATGCAGTCCTCTATCTTTCAAAATAGATGATTGGTAAGCTGTCAAAATTGAGAATTTTTTTAGATTGACTTGCTTGCTAGTCAACATTTATCAGAATGCTGTATAGCATTACATCAAAAACTTTCCTTCTGAAAGGGTCTATCTGCATATGCAAGGAGATATACGAAATAAACCAAACATGATATGGAATATTCCGTTTAAAAAATTATAAACCACGAATTTTCCACGACAATTTCTTCAAATAAGATCTCCCATTTTGACTGTATATTCAAATACACATTTCAGACGAAGATTGATATAACATACTATAGAGTCTTGATGATTGCCTGTTGAATTGCAAGCGTGACAATTTACAAACGCACTTGACCTGGACAGCCTGAGAGCCCAACATTTTGGATTACAAGTTTTTTCAGCTTTTTGCAGAACGCTTCTGGCACAATCGACCGGTTACGCATTTAGAAAAAAGTTTTCTGATACTGTTCGTTATCGTAACAGAACAATTCTGTATTTCGTTCCAGTCAATCTCAGGATCGTTCTGAAATGGTTTTGTTTCTGTGAAATCGCATCAAATGATAATCGAACGTTTCCAGAACTCAAGGTTGGAACAAACTTATAGGAAACATATACTACGTGACATACTTGCTATCATGGAAATATACGCTGATAAAATGTTGTTGTGTTCCGAACAATATGAACATGTTTACTTGATATTCAGTATTTTTTCTGTGTTGGTTCCATTTGTTTCATTGTGGTTTCATTGCATTATCATGCTTAAAGTTTGCAGACGCGCTAATTAAAGAAATACGTGAAGCCGGATCTTCTTTTAGATAAATCGCTAATCGGGTGAATCGAAACGAAGCTACTGTAATGATATGTTGTCGAGCGTGGTTCCAAGAAGGCCGAAACCGACGAGTTAGACGTACTGGACGTCAAAGACAGTCGACAGAGCGACAGGATCGTTATTTCAGGTAACTAGCACTTAGAGATCGATTTTCTATAACAAGGACACTTGCGTACCAGTGGTTTGATGCTATCGTGTACTACCTATGACCACACAGCATCGTCCACAACGATTGATATGGAGTAGAGAGATACTTGAATGGAATATGGAATGGAGCTGAGTCGTGTTCAGCGATGAGTCCCGATTCTGTTTCGCCACACATGTTGGCGGGAACGCCCAACATCCCATCGAACGGCATATTCATCGTACTGTAGGTGTTATGCAGCAGGCCACGATTAGTGTTCATTCGACGTAGAATGATTGCCCAGCGTTATATCCATGATGTTTTACAACCACATCTGCTTCCCTTGTTGGAAACATTGCAAGATCCACTTTTTCAACAGGACAGTGCACGACTTCATATCGCACGTGTTAGTTTAGACTTTTTAGCAGCGTAAGGAGTAAATCTGCATTAGTGGCCTCCTCGATCTCCAGACATTATACCCATCGAACATGTATGGTACATGGTGGGAAGAAGGTTGCAAACTCCACAAATACCAAGAAGACACCAATAATGTGTAGAGAACAGAGTAGCCTCAACTCATTATGTACATTAAGGTGGGATATTTCAGCTATTTTGTGAAATTTCGAGTTAAGATCTTAATCACTTTCTATTTATCAGTAGACCTAAAACTTATACAGGTATGCTCAAAATTACGGCACTACTAGTCAGTGTTGCATTTTCTATGTCATTTAGTATATATTCTAGGGCTATAAGCTACTCAAATCAATTCTATTGGATAAAACAAGATTTCACCTAGTCGAGCAAGCTTGAATTTGCCAGTTTTACCGTAAAATATAGTATTCATCATCAACTCCATTACCAAGAGTTTCAGATACTAACAATAGCTTGACCGATTCCAAAAATAAATAAGGAGTAACAATAAAGAAACGCACCGTATATTAGAAACTAAGTGACTGTTTCAAAAAGACATTCAATATCTTATCAACAATCGAAGCGGATGTAGGCACACTTGGTCATAATTTACTGATACTCCCAACCCCAAACTTACTAACCCAGGAAGTTTAAAGCCGGGTCTAGGATATTGTTAGTTCTGTGGCCGTAGCCTCAGAGAATGTTCTCGTAGTTGCGGTCGGGCTTTCCATTTTCTGTCATTGTACCCGGGGAAAGTGAATAAAGCCCTACAAAGCGGCGATGTCGCGGCACTCCTACAACTGAAATGGTTATGGGATGACGGGGAGGCAGAGGGCGGAGCGATCGTCCTAAAGCGCAAATGCGACAGGATTATTGCATTTACGAGAGCCTCAGCGAGAACTTTTGACTCAGAGGTGGAATAAGTTACATACAGGGTAACTCACTGAAATTATCTATTAGAGGTTGGATGCTATGACAGATGAAATGGTTATACAGGGGATTATCGAAAGGATTAACGTGCTTACGCGCGCCACTTTGAGAACTTTTGCCTTATACTTTACAGCAAAGAATAGCTTATAAAAGGAATAAGCTAAAACTGTAGAAGTCTATAGGGTATTCCGTTTTATTGTTTCAAGAAAAAGTACACTTTACGTTTATCAATATCCTATATAGACAAAAAATGCTTAAATTCCGAAAAATCTATGAAGCTCACGTTGAGGTAAAGTTTGCTATTCTTATCTTCAAAATAACTGACCAGTAGTCTGACACAGTTGAGTATTTTTTTGATCAAATTACGTTGTGTCTTCAATAAATGATAAAGTCATGCTTTTATAGCTAATCGAACTAAAAAGTAGAAAATAATTTTAAAATACAAATAATTTAAATTACAGTAGTAGATGATCAAAAAACCAATCATAATTAATGGCCTCAAAATAAAATTATTATAAAATTCAAGTTAATAACAGAATAATTCAATTGCAAAAGCGTGTTAAAAAAATAAAAAAGGTATAATCACAATCTGCTTCCTGTGAGGATTTAACTCACGACCCCTGTTTCATAAGACCATTGCACTGCCACTGAGCTACAGAGGCTGGTACCTTATAGTATGTCTTTTTATAGACCATTTTCATTATACCTCAATATACATGATGTTTAGAAAAATGCATGCGACGAGTAACGAGCAGATATTTGCCTATATTTTTCTATATGACTTTTTTTAGATATCTCTCATAATAACGGAGCTATCAACCGATTATATCCTAAAAACTCACCCTGTATCTGCAAATCTCATTGATTTGCTCATGTTCTCTCAAGCACCATATTGAGCTTATGACGAGATGCCTATTAAATCTGAATGTGATACGCAATTCGATATGTATATTGCAAACAGCGTGTTGCTTTTCGATTTAAAGTTAAAATTGCAGGGACTTGTTTATAGCGATACAGATTCTCTACTATTTTTTTATTTTTAGACATGACAGCAAGATGGATTTGGGAGACGGTGAAAATATTCCTAGGATACAACATGCACTGAGGAAGCATTTATAAATGTAGATCCTAAGGTGAAACCATTCACGAAGTCAAAAATATAAAGGTGAAATATACAGAACGTTGTATTTTCTCAATATACACAAACGTATTCCCAGTTAAATTTAAATGATGCGCTCAGGAACTGGAATCTCTTATTTGCAGTGATAATAGTTTCTACACTACCATGGAAGTATTAATTGCATCTTTGAATAAAGGTGAAGTTTCCTAGCTGCCGAATAGTCGCTTTTAAATTCGGCTACATGTTTCTGAAACGACTTAATGCACTTACTCACCTTATTACCGGATTTGGTAGCAGCATGCTCCTAACGGATACTGACAGCATCGTGTAACAATATAAACATGTAACTGAACTCTGCGGGATTATCCGGCTGCTAGATAATCGCGCCTTTACATCGAATATTTTTTCTGTATTATCTCTTTCGAAGCTTCCAAGACTTTCTCAGTGAATAGTGATCTCTTTCTTCTGGTGCCGTCTCTTATCGAAGGTTGGTGACCTCTAGATTTGACATTCCTCTATACAGTGTGAGTCTTCATAAAGTGCACATATCAAAATCAGGGAAACTACACTCTATTTCATCGACGGATAAATCATTAAAAAAAATTAAAAACAGTAATTGATTTTTTATGAATATTTTAAAATTTTTAGAGTCAGCTGCTAACCCTATTTAAATAAATCGTTACAACTTTTAAACTGAATGTCCTATCATATTGGAATAAATTTTGTAGTGATTGCAAATAATAGGCCGTACCAGTAAAGTGAAAATTTCCACGAAATTAAATGCTATAAATTTAAAATAAAGAGGAATATGCTGAAACACACTATTTTTTCAATGATTAAATGATAAGCTATTCTACATGTTATTAGCTTCGTAATGGTGAAAAATTGCAAGTTTATTACTTAGATACAAGTTTTTAAATCAGCGTTTTAAAAAGCAGTGAACTCAGTTCAACGCCACAGTAGGAATAAAACAACAGTATTAACCTACATGAATCATTCATTATCTTTAACAAATAAAATCAAATAGACTTGTCCATAGGATAATGATTTTGGCTTAATACATCAAATGTTCAAAATGGCCACCCCGTTGCTGCAAACATATTGTAGAGCGAAGTGGAATTTGATGAGTTGCCCTACGAATCATCTCGGGATCATTTTTGATTTCGTTTGCAACAAGCAAAACTCTTTCTTCAAGTTCTGCTTCGCTGTTTATGGCACTGCTGTACACCCTTTGTTTCATTGTCCCCCATAAAAAATAGTCGAGAGGTGTGAGATCTGGGGAAGCCGCCGGCCACCCAACAGGTCCTTGTCGACCGATCCAGCGGCCTGGATAATTTTCATTAAGAAAAGACCTGACAATCAGTGAGTAATGGGCAGGACATCCATCCATTTGAAGCATCATTCTTCGACGGGTTTGCAGCGGCACTTCTTCCAACAGCAAGGGCAGTTCAGTCTGCAAAAGCTCCAGAAATCTCTCTCCGTTTAATGTCCTCGGAAGTATTATTGGACCAATCAAAAAGTAGTCAATCAGTGCGGCCCACACATTTACAGAAAATTTCACTTGAAATGTTGAAGCCCTTTTCAGCCCAGGGTTTTCATCTTTTGGGCACCACTTATGTATGAGAATTGAGATTCATCTGTCCACAGAATTGTTTTCGGGAATTCAGGATTGTCTCTTATTTTTATTAAAATCCATGTAGACATAACGCACCTTGGACGCCAATCCACATCTTCATGCAAGTGCAATGGTATGGATGCAATCCTGCTTTCCTCAAGATGCGCCAAACCGATTTCAGGGATACGCCAAACGTCTCGTACTAGTAGTCGGGTCAGCAAACAAATCATCCAAAATGGCTTCTTCGATAGCAACATGAATAATAACACCTGATTCGCGGCGATCTCGAGGCAAACCAAGTCCGGTGCTAGCCAGTCTTCTATGTACTTCTTGGAAGTTACGGGCTGATGGAACAGGGCGTCGAATTGGAAATGCAGCTAGATAAGCTGTGCAAGCAGCTCTAGCACTCCCTCGGTACATTCCATAATAATAATGGATATCGGCAATGTGTGCCGGAGGGAAATCACTTATACGTGGCATCGCGACCAAAAAGCGAAAGCGTGATATGTAGCAAACGAAACTGATAAAGTTGGCAGGAGAAACACAAATAGCTGCCTAACTGCCCAGCATTCAATTGTTTTTCATCTGGGCCCGCCTCCCCACTCGTACTTCAGCCCGCGCGACTCTACATGATAAACAATGGTTCCTAGCAAGACGATGCGCATGGGCTTTTTTATAAACACTTATAGAAACTGTTACATTTGAGTAATAAACGTGCAATTTTTACTTTTATAAAGCTGATAACATGTAGAATAACTTACAAATAAAAAAAGGTAGGGTACAAGGGACGATATTTATAGAAAATTGGAAATTATTGTAAAAATGATAAAAAAAAACAGATTTTCATCAAAGTTTTCTTTATTCTAAATGGATGTCATTACTTTTCCTGGAATTCTTCACTTTTCAGGCACGTCCTTTTAGCAGCAATCACTACAAAATGTATTCCAATATGATAGGACATTTAGTTTAATAGTTGTAACGAGTTATTTCAATATTGTTAGAAGCTGCTGCTAAACATTTTAAAATATTCATATATTCATAAAAAATCAAATTCATGTTTTTTTGATGATTTATCCGTCGATTTTGATATGTGCACCTTATGAAGACTCACACTGTATTTGACTGGATGAAACAATTCCAACACAATCCCTTATATTCTTGAGCCACGACAACTTTTTCCTTCATTGCCTTGCATCATTGTATTAGTGTGTACCCTTTACCCCTTAATATGTGGCATAGATAGCTATTATTTATCTGAAATGATCTTGCTCTGCCAATCAAATAGTTATTCACTGTGGAAATGAGCTCCACAATGGAACAACATGCGCCTAAGCAAGAGATACTTACCTTCTAGAAACTGTCTATCATAGAGGTATTGCCACTACCTTTTTAACCATCCCTTATATCGACTTTAAGGATCAAATCGCTGATGTTCGACATTCCAAATGTATTGCCAAGAGTGATCACCCTGTAGGGCTTTACACGCGCCAGCTTGCTAGTTTATAAACAGATATCCCAAATCACATCCGCTGATGAGTATGCACATTGCAATTTATTCTTATCAGCCAAATTGGGAACATTATTGAGCTGATATGTGAAGGTATCGCCGCTCTGGGGACAGTCCACTTGGGGGTAGCGCTTGCCGTTCTATCCTATGTGGAGACCAGCTGTGCTCTGCAGTGCCAACTATACTAAGTACCTCCTTTTAAAACTCATTACTGTGTTTACTTATGAGCACTCGCGAGTAATCTGTTTAACAGCCCTTTGTTGCGCACAGGCGAAAGTCTGCTCAACCTCGAGCAACTAAACCTCAACTCACAATCGCGACAATATGAGGCTTCCTATAAATAAATAAATGAATAGCGTCTATTGCCTAACAGTTAAGGAAACCATTTACAGTACAATCCTATGCTAAATCTTCAATTGACCGTAAATTCGTCTGTCAAGTTCTGGTGAACTAACCCATAATTCTTGATGTGATAAGGCTCCTTCTGCGTCTGAAGTATCATGTTGGGTGTTATTTGTGACGCTTGGTGTTTGTGATTCGTGTCACCCAAGGCAACCCATGTCAGTATCAAACCGAAAAGGTATTGCGGTTCAGTTGCAACTTACTATTCAACCCTTAAATAGTCTTCTGTCTAAAGAGAGCTGTTATTTTTAGAGAAACTTTACGTTGAAAAGTAAGTTTTGATATAGTTGTAGTCTCCGTTCCTGGTGGATACATCATCATCGTCATATAAAATACTCGTAAGTAAACAGATCCAGTCTAAGTACCATGGGTGGATCTTAATTTTCTTAACTGAGAGAAACCGATTCAGAATTATTTGCTAGTCGTAATTTTCAAAAATCTTCTAATCTAGTACATAAACATAAACATGGGTAGAGTATGACACGCTATTTGAGGTTTTTAAAGTTGAAATAAAAAATACATACGGAATTTACAATACAAAATAACACATCTATTTGCTAACTTGATCGAGCATTTAACATTGGATGTGGATATGTGACAAGCTTATGAGAGCTTTAGAAGTACCATCTTCAATGATAAAAATGCTCAATTCTTCCTGGAGCGAAATGCGACTAAACTGATTACTGCTGGACAATAAAATACATTTTGATGATGATGCGCTTAAGCTCGAGCTTTTAGATCTATGTCGCCTTAATAAACATCAAGCTTGTAACTTCCATATCTGTCAAAATATTTAACAATCTACATTAAGGTGCACACAGAGAAAATTAAGAATTATGAATTTTCAAAATCGTTTCGGTCGTTTTAAATCAAGTCTTCGATATGTTTCACACACTTGGCCCAAACTGTAGGAGTCACGTTCGCTAGTATCGTCTAAAACTTCCAAAACTTTCTTGTCACCATAGCCATCCAATACGACGATCATAGTACTGTTTAGCTATACCCCAGACTCACTCAACAGAGTTGACTTGACAATGGTAACGGGGGAGCAGCAAAACCTGATGTCCAGGTTGATTAACATCTTGTCTATGAGATATCTTGGAGCCGCTGGTTTATTAAGGCGACATAGATTCAAAAGCTCGAGTTTAAAAGCGTCTTCATCAAAATGTATCTTTTTGTCTTGCAGCCATTGCTTCAACTGCATTTTACTCCAACTGGAGTTGGACATTTTTTCCTGTTAAGGCACTATGGTAAGAGGCCTTATCCATGATTACTAAAGATGGCTCTTGTAACGCTGGTATCAGCTTCTCACATACCCATCTTTTTGATAGATTGTTTGTCCGTGGAATCGTGGTAGCCAGTACTTTTTGATTTTGTAGCAAATAACAATGCAGTATCTCTCAAAAAACCGTTTTTGCCGGTACCCTG